AGGGGGAGGGGTTCATGAGTTTCTTGGGGGCTGAGTGGAGATTTATTGTCCTGCCCCTATCCCCGGAGTTGGAGAGTGGAGAGGAAGATCAGTAATCACCTGAGCAGGCCGCTGGGGTTCAGGGCAGAGAGGTACTCCATGGTGCAGGGATAGAGCAGGAGTTCTGGGCTGGGTCGTTCTCTGTTGTGCTGGGCTGAAGTGGTGATGTTTTCTGTTACCGAGCTGGGACCTCAGCCCCAGTGAGGTGGAGGATGAGTCAGTCTCGGACTCTGCTCCCGACTGGCCTGTAAGAAAGGCAAAGTCCAAGGGGAGGGACCTAGATGGGGTCCCGAAAGAAGGATTAAGGCTCAGAGTTGCCAGGCAAAAACCATGGAAGCTTTGTGTGGGTGTTTCTCTGGTGGCAGCATGGGATGTGAGGATAATTGGGAACTATGTAAGAGGATGGTGTTTTTCTTTGTATGGAGGGAATTTCTAGGTATAGAAGCTGCATTACATGATTTGTACTGTGCATGCTGCCATCTACTGAAAAATCCATAAACTGCAGCTTTAAGAGAAGAGAGGACAGGCTGAGGATGGGATCATGGGCAAGGCTTGGAGAAATGGCATGTGAGGCTGTGTGTGAGGTGGGGTGTGAGAAGAGGATGGGTCCTGATCCATGGGTCACCAGGAGACTGTCTGGGACTCTGGCCTTCCTCCTTTCCTGCTCTTTCCTTCGTGGTCTAGGGGAGCAGCTGGCTCAACATTTCTCTGATTTAATTCTGCAGAAGTGCCCGCTTCAGCCACACTGGATTAGTCACTTTCGCCCCTATCTCCTTTGGACACATAATGGGCATGAAGGAGATGTGAAGGGGAGAGGGGGTGTCCTTTGATAGCATCAGGGCTTTAGCTTTTGGTGCTCTGTGTTCCATCTCTGATTTCAGCTGCAGTTGTGCTGGACAGTTGTGTGGAAGCTCAGACTCACTGACAATGAACTCCTCACATGAGTGCAAGTCTCTCTGCTTTCCTGCCTATAAGTCAGGTCTGAAGCTTTGGCAGTCCAGTCTGCACCCTGACAAGTGCAGGCTACAAGTGTGAACAGGATCGTCAATGCCTCCTCTTTCTGGAATGCATTCTGTGCATGTATTAGACGTTCCTGATGCCCACTGAAGGCGCTCGGTAACACTCTTAATGGCTTTCCTCTTCCCTCTCTTCTCCTCTCACTCCCGCTTCCCAAGGTGATCTCCCAAATACAGAATTACCTGTACCCATGCCCTTAACTAAGACTCTGCTTTGGAAGGAACCCAAATGGAGACAATACTGGTGTCCTGGCTCCCAAGGAACCCCAGTTCTGGCTATTGAATGACATAGGCCTTTCCCCTTCCCTCAAGTTTATCAATTTACCAGGTCCCCTCAAATTTCTTCATTTCCAAGCTTTGCCTGACTTCTCCACCTACAGAAGGCTTCTTTTCAGCATGTCTCTACCACTGCACCCTTTCCTTTTTTCTTATCTTGTATCCTGGTGCAGCTTAGTGATGTGCTCTCTTCGTGGTTGTCTGCTGTAACCGCCTCAGCCAGGTTCTATGCCCCTTACACCTCCATGCATTCCCCCATTCCCCACAGAATTTAACACCATGCTTTACACTGAAAGCTGTCACTGACAGCCCAGTGAGGGCCCTGAGGGTGGTATGACTGGGGCAGGGCCCAAGGCAAGAGGCAAGAGGAGTAGGTAGGAAGCTGAGGGAAATGAAGCCTCAGCAGGGTCAGGAGTCTGGAAACAGGCAAAGAAAGAGCAGCAGGGGAAGTGAGTAGTTTGGGTCACCTTCTCTGCTGAATGCAGACCAGGGAGGACAGAAAGCATAGGGCTACAGGGTTGGGACAAGAGCTGAGGGGAGGGATTAGCGCAGAAACAGGACCCAGGGTCTGGAGTCAGCAGTGTTCCTACTCACTCACCTTCACGACAAGGAAAGCTTATGTGAACCCCTTCAGCTTATCCTGTTTCTTGGGAGGCAGGACCTCACACGCCTGGACATGTTAGTGATGGGAAGCCCTAAGGTGAGGGAGGGGCCCCAGGAAAGGCTTCACCTTGTCCCTCCCCATTTTCGCCTCACCCTTTGCAAATCTGACTGGCACAGGACAGGAGTAGGCACCTAGCTCATTGCTGCTTTGCCTTTCAGCCTCCCCAGGCCCCTTGCTGGGCCCCCACCCTGCTAGCTTTCAGCTGGGTAAGTAGATCTGCCCAAGTGCCTTTACTTGCGACCACTCGCTTTTACCCTGAGGTATAAGGAATGGGGCTGGACAAAGAAGGGTAGAGGAGTGGAGGTGGAGGTGGTGACAGCCTGGGAGCCAGGACTGGGGAGGTGAGCTGAGACTGAGAGCAGGGGATTTGGGGTTCCAGGAAGAAGTAGTGTTTGAGTTGGGGCTGGGATCCCGGAGGAAGCCAAGGCTCCCAGACAGAAGAGAGGCAGGCTGCAAGGAAGTGAGGGGAGGCACAGTTCCTTCTCACCTGGCATCAGGAGTCAGGTGGGCTCTTGCCCCGCCCCCTGAATGCGCTCTAAGGCCCTTTCCAGCCCCTCCCCCCGTAGGTGCAGAAGGATGACAGACTGCTACCGTCCCCCAGGGAATGAGACGCTGCTGAGCTCACCGGCCTCACGGGCCACAGGCACGGCCTTCCTGCTGCTGGCGGCGCTGCTGGGGCTGCCCGGCAATGGTTTCGTGGTGTGGAGCTTGGCGGGCTGGCGGCCTGCACGGGGGCGGCCGCTGGCGGCCACCCTCGTGCTGCACCTGGCGCTGGCCGACGGCGCGGTGCTGCTGCTCACGCCGCTGTTTGTGGCCTTCCTGGTGATGCAGGCGTGGCCGCTGGGCCAGGCGGGCTGCAAGGCCGTGTACTACGTGTGCGCGCTCAGCATGTACGCCAGCGTCCTGTTCACCAGCCTGCTCAGCCTGCAGCGCTGCCTCGCCGTCACCCGCCCTTTCCTGGCGCCCCGGCTGCGGAGCCCCGTCCTGGCCCGCCGCCTGCTGCTCGCGGTCTGGCTGGCCGCTCTGCTGCTCGCCGTGCCAGCCGCCGTCTACCGCCACCTCTGGGGGGACAGCCTGTGCCAGCTGTGCCACCCGTCGCGCGCCCACGCCGCCGTCCACCTGAGCCTGGAGACCCTGACGGCTTTCGTGCTGCCCTTCGGGCTGGTGCTCGGCTGCTACAGCGTAACGCTGGCGCGGCTGCGGGGCGCCCGCTGGGGCTCGGGGCG